CTCTGGTTGAGAGATGCAGCCTTCACAACCCCTCATCTTATACCATTTTGAATAAATTTTTAAGTCCTTGCTGTTCAAAGTTGTTTGGGGGTCCTTTATTGGAGCATAGACTTGAATATTATACAAGGCACCTTCTTAAAAGAAACCTTACTTCAGACTGTCACAGAAATTCTTAAGCATAAAAATGAAGCCACTTCAACTTCTCCTTAGGCACCTCAGAATCAAAGACATGTATGGACTTTTTAACAGATATAGTTTCTTCTTTCTGAAGATAAATTTCTCCAAAGGCCAAGATTGTCCTGTTTCTAATCTCTAGCTAGCCATTACAAATGAGAAAAAAGCATTATTCATCTATTTTCTCTCTCCTCTCCTTTTATTTCCGATTTCTCTTTTTAGTTAGTTGGGATTTTTTTGTTTCTTTGTTTGTTTGTTTGTTTGTTTCCTGGATTCATGTAACATTACCTCCCTTCACCAGCCACAGACTCGGATGGGGGAAAAAAATAATCATAGACCTGGAGGCTGTCTTCAATCTCAGTAAATCCCTAGTCCCTGTAACCAGAATTGCAAATGGGTACAACCTGTACCTTTCCTATGGACTAAGAGGCCATCTTCTTGCGCTAAAGTTCCAGAAGAGCAGCTAATATGGAAGAGGAACTGAACTCAACACAGCAATGAAGGACTGTATTCTGAAGAGCAACACACCATAAAGCTAAACGTGGTTGTGCCGAACACATAAGGTGCTTATATAGGGTCATACTAGGACTTTATCAAGTAACTGGAAAACTTATTTGAAGCCATAGTCTTATAGTTAGTAGAAAGATAAATGGGGAGGGAGGGAAATGCTGTAGAAAAGTGGAGGTTATCATAGAAATCTAATATCTGCAATATTTTTCTTCTCATAACCATGAACATTTTCCCAGTTCATTTTCAGTCCTGTTCTTAGCACAGTTCTGAAGGGTTTGTTTTTGAAAAAAAAAATCCGTTGTGTTTTGTTTGTTTGGTCTTTAAATGTTCTCTCTTGACCCTTAATGCTCAGGTCCTTGTGGGCATTATCCACATACAGTGTTACCTTTAGTTGGAAGAAGAGGATGACTGCTCAGGATCTAAACAAGGTGGTGGCCTCATGAACCTCTGTTGATTAGCCCCCAGTATCAAGCTAAAGTCCTGTGGTTTTATGTGTAACGGTAATAGTTAATCCTATCTGGCATAATTTCCATCCTGCTCAGTCATTATAAATAAAGACTTGAAATAGTACTTTAAATGTCCAAATACCTAAATGTGCTAAACTGGAGGTAACTTTTTAGGGAGTTGAATTTTTGAAAGTGATGATCAGCCACACAACTGTTTTGTACATATTTTTTCATGCACTTTTCTGTATGCAAATAAAGCTATAAATTTACTCATTTCAATAAACTGGAATGGCAGAATCTCATGTGTTACCATAAATTTATCTTCCTATTTGACCCCTGCTTTGGATTGACATTAGGATCAAGGTATAAAACATACCATTCTAAGGTGAGCAAATTATTGTAAAAATCCAGAATGTTTTATGACTAAAATGAAAAGAAAGAGTTCTATGAAATAGGACCATGGGTAAATTATCATCTGATCTCTTCTAACACCTCATTTTCCTCTCATATCCACACATCTTCCCTTCCTGGGAGTTTAGTGACTCCAGGGGCTAAATCCTGTACCAGGACAATTTCAACTGATATCCAGTATAAAAATCATTCATTAGTGTACTATCAGTTTATGCCTATATCTTTTGTTTCCCCTGGTTCCCTATCTAAGACCCCAAGACACAACTGTGAGCTGCCGAGGTACATAGGCCTATGACCAACATTTGCAGCAGTAGGACTCTTTTTTTTTTTTTTTTTTTTTAAGAGAGTTTTTTACTATAGGTTGTGTGCGCTCACCAGACAGACAGAGAGACAGAAAGCAAGAAATCACCCCCCATGGGGAACGGCCATGCCACAATCCCTTATCCTCCATTCTCCTCATGGGATCTTGGGCATGCACGCACACATGCCCGGCATGAGTTTTAAGCCACCGGGTCCAGGAGGCAAACCGCGGTCGACTACATGGGAGTCCAGCGACATAGCCATTATGCTAACTGCTGGTCCCGGCAGTAGGATTCTTTTTTTTTTTTTTTTTTGGAGAGGTTTTCGGTGGTGTGTGCACTCACCAGACAGAGAGACAGAAAGCGAGAAATCACCCCCCAGGGGGGATGATCACGTCGCAATCCCTTCTCCTCCATTCTCCTCTTGGGATCTTGGGCATGCACACACACACACCCAGCGTGAGTTTTAAGCCACCAGGTCTGGGACATGAACCGCGGTCGACTACGTGGGAGTCCAGCGACATAGCCATTACGCTAACTGCTGGTTCCCCCGAGCAGTAGGATACTCTTAAACACACTTACATAGTGTAAAAGTTCAGGATTTTTATTCATTTCAAGAAGATTTAGAACAAAGGAAGGTAGGCCTTGCTTGGATGTAAGTCTTGGTGTTTAACCTAACTCCTGGAAGGAGTAAAATAAACATGTGGGGACACTTTTTTGGTGGCTACTACCACAGAATGTTCAAAATTGTTGCCTTGTTGTTCCCTTTAACTGAAATACTTGGTCTCTTTCTGACAACAGTGAGATAGAATCTAGAGAAACACACTCCCTACAAAAGCAAAAGCAGCTTCCAGGAGAGCTAAAAGCAAGCCACAGATGAGTTGAAGAGGGCCTTTGCTAGGAGCACGTGTGCACGAGTTATCTAGCTTATTCAGGAGCTCTGTGGTATATCTAACCCACTGAGCCTGTGTGCCATATCTCATGTGGCTGAATCGCAGAGATTTTTGCCAGAGGGTAAATCCTGCTTATGTGTACAAGGGGAGGACATACATTTCAGTGCAATAGGAACACCTGCTGACTGAGCAGAGGAGGTGCTCCCCGAAGCATCCAGACAAAGTAGAAACAAACCTATTTCCTATAGTCTCTTCACTAGTAGTAGCATTCACACTTGTGGGTTTGAAGCTGAACTTTATGGTAACCCAGTTATCCTGAAGGTTTCATTTAGGCATCAGATATATTTGAGCTGACAGCTAGATTTTAGTAGAGTGTGCCCTCAAATTTCTCACATAAAAACAATACAAAGGGAGAAGGTATTAATTTTTTTCAACACAATCTCACATGTGTGAAGTATTGATATTTTACCATTTATGCAAAATAAATTCATTCCATTGATCCCATAAACCTGCAAAGTCTGATTTGTTGCTGTTGCATCTCAGGCTAAGCTGGCATCCATGCTTTCAAATGACTGCAATCTGCCCCAGTTCTTTTCCTTTTCCTTTTTTTTTTTTTTTTTGGAGAGGTTTTTGCAGTAGGGCACATGGGCTCTCCAGAAAGACAGAAAGAGAGACAGAAAGCGAGAAATCACTCCCCAGGGGGGATAGCCACGCTGCAATCCTTTCTCCTCCATTCTCCTTCCAGGATCTTGGGCCCGCACGCACACGCGCCCGGCATGAGTTTAAGCCACTGGATGTAGGACTCAAACTGCAATTGACTACATGGGAGTCCAGTGATATAGCCATTAAGCCAACTGCTGGTCCCTCTGCCCCAGTTCTTAAGGGAGTGATTTCCATGGTACTTTATTGTAAAATAGCATGTGGTCATAGGGAGATCCTTTCAACTGATGATTTCAAACTTCTCTATCAAAATGTTAGTCGTGGTGTCTAGAGAGAGCCGAACAATGAGTGATTCTGTGTCTTTTCTGTCCTGAAAGCAAGGAAGGAAAAGAACAGAAGATAAGCTAACTCAGGAGTTTGCTTGACCCTGGAATAGCCTGATGAGTGAGGACTCTGACCTGTGTTACCGGAATAGGTTTAATATGAAGTCTTCTAGTGAAAGGGAGCTGCCCCAAAGTTCCTGGTAAATATTTAAGCTCTTACCATTTGAAGAGATTGCTACATAATAAAACACCCATTTATTGCTGGGAAATGGTATGTTTTTAAGTCATTATCTTCTAAAAATAAATGACACTTGCGTTCTAAGTTGGTACACCAAGCATGTATGGGTACAAAGCTGTGTCCCAGGAGTTCTGTTCACAAGTCCTAATTACAGTGATGCTGATGGACAAGGGCCAGCCATTTGTCATCTCGCCCTTGCTACTCTGAAATTATGTACTTAATTACTAAACCTCTACTGTGTACTGAAATCATACAGGTGCTGGTCTCCAGGGAGATCAGTGTGGGCTGCTTAGTGGTAAAAAAAAAAAAATTAAAAAAAAATAATCCTAGCCTTCTGCAGTGTTTAAATATGAGTTATTTGTAACAAACAAACCAATAAAGTTTAACTTGGAAACATGTCATGACTAAGTTTTCTTTATGTTGTTGCTTGTGGAATTATCTATCAATTCTCTTCATTTTATTAACTTCAATTATTTTTTATCTCACTTATAAAAAAGAATTATTATTGTTCTTAAGGTGGAGGGCTGTTCTATTTCATTTCATTGCTAATAACAGAATATATCTGAGTTTGGGCCATTTAAGAGAATAGAGACTTATTTTGCTCATGATTTAAAGGTCCAAAGGGCCAGTTCTAGTAAGTTTCGCCGTTTGTGGTGTCCCAATGTCTTGCAGAGAAGGTATCACATTGTGAGAGAACAGAAGTGTGCCTCTGTGTAAGTCTCTGTCCTGGTCTCATTCCCTCTACCCATAAATTCACATGAAGTCAATCACAGAGACTACACACTAACTGTTTAGTCTATCCCAAAGACCACCTTTAAAAACCATGAAGGTATTCATTTTTCTCTCAATATCTTCACAACCAATCTCAACACATTAATTTTGGGGAGAGAAATCATAGCAGAAGGCAACCTTTCTGGGCTACATGTGAGCCACAGACATTTCTGGGGGTGGATCCGAAGCTGTCTCCACTAAGTACCTACTTATACT